TGTCCAGTCGCAGTCACAGTTACCGTCTGCCTCCCCTCTCCCTGGTCCTTCTCCTTACACTGGTCCGACTGGAGGTCTTACGGAGCGTCGTGAGCCTGAGTCTCGTCCTGCGTCGCCTGAGTCTCGTCGAGCGTCGCCTCTACGTGCTGCTCACACTGGTCGTCGTGTCCCGCGTCAGCGTCCTCCTGCTGTCCCAGGCACTCACCAGATGGCGCTTCGTCCTTCCACTGCTCCCCAGCGTGTCCCTCTCCCGTCTCCTCCTACGTCCTCTCTTCCTGCTCTTGCTGACCCTGAGTCTGACTCCCTTCGTGCTACCAGTCCTACTTTCACGCGTCTCCTGGCTACTGTTGTCACTGACCCTTCCTTTGAGTCCACTGCTGCGTCTGCCTTAGTTGCTGAGCTTGTCGACTTTGCTGCCGCTTGTCGTCTAGACTACGCCGCTAGCCTAGTTGCTGAGTCTGAGTCTGTCTGTCCTCCGTCCGTCGGGGGTGAGTGTGCTCTTGGCACGGACGTCCTTGAGGACAGGCAGGAGGAGTTTGAGTGCTTTGCCGCTGCTTTACCTCATCTCGTGTCCATGCTAGTTGCCCCTGAGGGAGACCCGGATGCACCAGACATCCCGACTCCGCGCTCTTACGCAGAGGCGATAGAGGGTCCCTACTCCTCTCAGTGGCAGATAGCCATGGACGCAGAGATGGCTTCCTGGAAGTCCACAGGCACCTACGTCGACGAGGTTCCCCCACCTGGGGCGAACATCGTCAGTGGCATGTGGATTTTCAGGGTGAAGCGGCCGCCGGGTTCTCCGCCTGTCTTCAAGGCGCGTTACGTTGCACGAGGCTTCAGTCAGCGAGAGGGAGTTGACTTCTTCCAGACCTTCTCCCCGACCCCGAAGATGACCACTCTTCGGGTTCTGCTGCACGTCGCCGCTCAGCGTGACTACGAGCTCCACTCTCTTGACTTCACCACTGCTTTCCTACAGGGCAGCCTGCACGAGGAGATCTGGTTGCGCCGCCCACCTGGCTTCACTGGGTCGTTCCCTCCTGGTACCCAGTGGAGCCTCCGGCGGCCAATCTACAGTCTCCGACAGGCGCCACGTGAGTGGCACGACACACTGAGGACTACACTTGCGGCTCTTGGGTTCGCTCCTTCTACTGCTGGCCCGTCGCTGTTTCTACGCACCGACACCTCACTGCCGCCGCTCTACATCCTCGTGTACGTCGACGACTTGGTCTTTGCCACTGCTTACACTGTCGCACTCGCCCACGTGAAGTCAGAGCTGCAGAAGAGACACATGTGCACAGACCTGGGTGAACTGACAAGCTATCTTGGCTTGCGGATCACCCGGGACAGAGCACGGCGCACCATCACCTTGACTCAGTCACACATGGTGCAGCAGGTCCTTCAGCGCTTCCGCTTCACGTACTCCTCGCCTCAGCCCACTCCTCTGCCTACCGGTCACTCGCTCTCAGCTCTGCCTTTGGATGAGTCCGTAGAGCCGAGTGGCCCGTATCCAGAGCTTGTGGGCTGCCTCATGTACCTGATGACCTGCACTCGACCTGACCTTGCATACCCTCTTAGCATCCTTGCACGCTATGTCGCTCCTGGCCGTCACCGGAAGGAGCACATGGATGCCGCTAAGAGGGTGTTGCGCTACTTGTGCAGTACGTCGGGCATGGGGCTAGTGCTTGGAGGACGAGACCGAGTTGTACTCACTGGGCACTCAGACGCTTCTTGGGCTGACGACCAGGCTACTCAGCGGTCGTCTCAGGGTTACACCTTCAGCCTTGGCTCTGGTTCAGTTTCTTGGCGTTCTACACGCTCGTCTTCTGTTCTCAGCTCCAGTTGTGAGGCTGAGATCTACGCCACAGCCATGGCTGCACAGGAGTTACGCTGGCTCACCTACCTGTTGACCGACTTGGGAGAGCGGCCTCGTTCTCCTCCAGTGCTGTACGTCGACAACAAGGTTGCCATTGCCTTGTGTGAGGAGCACAGACTGGAGCACAGAACGAAGCATATCGCTCTGCGCTACTTCCTTGCTCGAGAGCTGCAGCAGCGCGGTCAGCTTCGTCTGCGTTACGTGGCCACTCGGGCCAACACTGCTGATGTGTTCACCAAGGCGCTTCAGCCTTGTGACCATCAGCGCTTCTGTACTGTTCTAGGCCTTGTGCCTACTGGGCCTCACTTGCTTACTTCTTGACTCTACTTGTACTGTGATCTTTATATATATGCCTGCATGTTTACTCTTGCTAGGTTGTGATCACTGTATCTCTTGTTATACTATCAACCTGCATGTGAACTGGTCTTGTGACCACTTGCTTGTGCTCAGAATTTGTGTGGTTTCCTTGAGATCCACCCTGAGCTTGCTTTGCTTTGCTTTGACTGGTCTTGTGACCATTTGGTTGTCTCCCACTTAGCCTATGGGGGTGTGTCAAACATTATATGTTTATATTGTGTAGGCTATAGTGGGTTTAGCCTTAGGGGGTACAGCTTTGTTAGGGTTTCCTACTTGTATCCCCCTCCTACCTAGTTTCATCCATTCTCGTTCTATTCTAGATTCTAACAAAAATGTCGTACCCATCCAGCGTCGTCACGAGCATTTCCTGTGTAAACCTGAAATTCCCCCCCGCAGCGAACCTTCACTATCTCCACATTCTCCCTTATAGCCAGTGACGCGTCGTCAACTAAGCGTGCGTCAATCTCTGGTCAACAGTGGCTAAATGTCGGTTGCAGCTTCCGTGCCGTCACGGTATTAACTAAACTGTGACTTGCTCCTCCCTCAATAAAAGTCTTCACTGCTACCCCCTGTATTTTCCCGTGAATCAGTATTGGGCAATCAGTCGTTGTACCCTCCTTATTAAGCCGAGCCCGATCGATTGTGTGAATCGGTACTGTGACTCGGTGAGGGTCAGTGAGGTCGGGCGAGTAGTGAGTCTTGTCAGTACTGGGCCCATACTCTACTGACTGTTGGCGTTTCCCTGCCTCCCAGACTCCCTCCCCTGCTCTGCTCCACGGCGCCTTAGCTCCTCTTGGCATTCGCTCTTGCGATGGCCCGGCCTATTGCACGCAAAGCAGCGCCTCTTAAATGGTGCGGTAGCTGTGCTCGCTGCAATGCCGTGTTCAATGGCGTGCTCGATCGGTCCTCGAGGGCGATGTCCGTAGTAGGACCTCGATCTCGGACGGCGCAAGATGTCGATTTTCTCCGCTAGCGTCAGGATTTGAAGTATGAGATCCCACGAAGAAGGATTTGTTATGAAATTTCCGGCTTCAAGCCGCCGACGTAGCGATTCACTCGCTCAGCTTCGTGCAAATAGCCGACCTGCTCACACAGCGCGACAAAACCGCTGGTGTAGTCTTGAACCGACCCTAGCTTCTAGCGTGCCGAAATCGAAGCCGCAATCGACTCGAAGCGCGCCCGAAGCCCTGTGCACCACGCATCCCACGTGCTACATTGGGCAGTCTCGCAGTACGAACTCCATGTGACGGTTGGGCCCGTAGGCCCTTCCTCTTGCGACAGTGGCTCGTAGGTGCGCGGCGACGTCACAATGACTCGCCACCAGTCCATGGGGGTGGCCAATGAAACGGCGTACCGAATCTTCTCTGCATCCGAGGTAACGTAATTCACGTAAAAACCACGTTCATCAAGATTAAACAGTCGGACCTACACGTTGGCTAGGATCGATGCAGGGCGGGCATTGCGGTTTGAGCGGCATCGTCTCACTGATGCCGTCGTTGCCGACAGGTGCAGCAAATCCAACATGACGACGAGCCTCGCGAGTTATGTTTACGCCCAGTGCATCCCTGGTCCTCTCCATTCTTGGCATTGATTGGGCGGCGCCGTCGCTTATTGCGCCTGAGCGCTGTCCCACACTGCCGTGCTGCGACGATGTGCCTGATGAGATAACAATCGGCTCATCCGATTGCGCAGGTGCATTTGCGGGTGCTGGTGCATTCGTCGTTGATTGCTGTCGAGCAGAGTCGCGTTCCGCCGTGAGCGTCGCAATTTCGAGCGTCGATTCCTCGAGTTGGCGTAGAAGTTTGTCGAGGCTCTCTTGCGTCAACGTCATGAGTTGGAATTCGTCCATGGCGGGGATGTCGGGCGAGCTCAGTGAGAGCCTCAGTCGTGGCTGTATGTGCTTACGAGAGAGCACACGAGTAGAGGTGCTTGGTCGCTGAGGGACGTCTACCCCCTCCAAAAATTGAGATAATGGAGAAGCGAAGGTGTGAGCGTGGTCCGAGAAGGGATCGTAGCTATGAATACCAAGTGTTACGAGTGCAATCGAGCGAAGGAATGAGCAAAGTTATATAGCGACGCTAGCGTGGTAACGGTAACGCGAGAAGTTGGGGTGCGTTACGGGCCTGACGCAGAGGTTGGGAAATTTTGAGGGGGAGGTCCGGAGCGCGGGTTACCAAACGAACCTTGAGGTTGGGTCGTGTCGTGAACAGTGGCGGGAATAGTGGTCGAGGCGAGTGTCGCGAGTGGTAACGGTGCGCTGTTGGGTACTGTTGGCGGGAACAGTCGTGTACGCGGTAAGCAGGGATGCGGGGTAAGGAAAAATGGATTTTCCTTACAGTAACTACCAATTGTCAATCCAAATTCTGTCTTCCGAGGTGATAAGAGGTATAATGCGTAAGTGTTGCTATAAGGAATTACAATTCTACTCTCACTTTTGCGAGTACATCCCGGGGCCATGCGTGAGTTCTGTTACGCCTACAATTCCGCCCCAAACCACTCTCAAGTCGCCCCCGCACCACTTGTCACTTTCATTGTACCGTAATCATCCGGGCATACCACTCGCCGAAATTAAAGACCCCCCCGGGTGGCTTGTGCAGGGTGGGTGCTTTATTTGACCTCATCTCAGGCTCACGACGCTCTGCCAGGGACCCTGTCTGTGCAGGGTAGGGAGAAGGAGCAGGAGGTGGAGAGCCAGGCAGTAAGTGTCTAGTCAGGCGGAGGACATAGGAGAGGCGGAGTAAGGCCAGTGGAAGACGGAAGACTTAGAACCTCATGAAGTGCCGAGCCAGGTGGTGGTAGGGACGACTGCGGGTGCGGGTAGAAAGCGGCGCAGTACCCGTACCGTCAGCAGCTCCAGCACCTCCAGCACCCCCAGCTCCAACACCTCCAATACCACCAGCTCCAGCACCTGCAGTACCTCCAGCTCTAGCACCTGCACCAGCAGCTCCAGTACCTCCACTACCTCCAGCTCCAGCACCTCCAGTACCTCCAGCTCCAGTACCTCCAGCACCAGCAGCTCCAGTACCTCCAGCACCTCCACCTCTAGCACCTCCACCTCTAGCACCTCCAGCACCATCACAGTTCCAGTACCTCCAGCACCTCCAGCACTAGCACCTCCAGCACCAGCAGCTCCAGCATCTCCAGCACTCCAGCACATCCAGTACCTCCAGCTCTAGTACCTCCAGCACTAGCAGCTCCAGTACCTCCAGCACCTCCAGCTGAAGCACCTCCAGCACCAGCAGCTCCAGTTCCTCCAACACCTCCTGCTCTAGCACCTCCAGCACCAGCACCTCCAGCACCTCCATTACCTCCAGCTCCAGTACCTCCAGCACCAGCAGCTCCAGTACCTCCAGCACCTCCAGCTCCAGCACCTCCAGCACCAGCAGCTTCAGTAACCCCAGCACCTCCAGCTCTAGCACCTCCAGCACCAGCAGCTCTAGCACCTCCAGCTCCAGTACCTCCAGCACCAGCAGCTCCAGTACCTCCAGCACCTCCAGCACCGGCACCTCCAGCACCAGTAGCTCCAGTTCCTCCAGCACCAGCAGCTCCAGCAGCTCCAGCACCTACAGCTCTAGCACCTCCAGCACCAGCAGCTCCAGTACCTCCAGCACATCCAACTCTAGCACCTCCAGCACCAGCAGCTCCAGCACCTCCACTACCTCCAGCTCCAGTACCTCCAGCACCAGCAGCTCCAGTACCTCCAGCACCTCCAGCTCTAGCACCTCCAGCACCATCACAGTTCCAGTACCTCTAGCACCTCCAGCACTAGCACCTCCAGCACCAGCAACTCCAGCACCTCCAGCACCAGCAGCTCCAGCACATCCAGTACCTCCAGCTCTAGTACCTCCAGCACTAGCAGCTCCAGTACCTCCAGCACCTCCAGCTGAAGCACCTCCAGCACCAGCAGCTCCAGTTCCTCCAACACCTCCTGCTCTAGCACCTCCAGCACCAGCAGCTCCAGCACCTCCATTACCTCCAGCTCCAGTACCTCCAGCACCAGCAGCTCCAGTACCTCCAGCACCTCCAGCTCCAGCACCTCCAGCACCAGCAGCTTCAGTAACCCCAGCACCTCCAGCTCTAGCACCTCAAGCACCAGCAGCTCTAGCACCTCCAGCTCCAGTACCTCCAGCACCAGCAGCTCCAATACCTCCAGCACCTCCAGCACCAGCACCTCCAGCACCAGTAACTCCAGTTCCTCCAGCACCAGCAGCTCCAGCACCTCCAGCACCTCCAGCCCTAGCACCTCCAGCACCAGCACCTTCAGTACCTCCAGCACCTCCAACTCTAGCACCTCCAGCACCAGCAGCTCCAGCAGCTCTAGTACCTCCAGCTCAAATGCCTCCAGCACCAGCAGCTCCCGTACCTCCAACACCTCCAGCTCTAGCACCTCCAGCACCAGCAGCTCTAGGACCTCTAGCACCTCTAGCGCCAGTACTCCAAGCGCCAGGAACCCTGCCCAGCCAAACAACCCAGTCGCGAAGCTGCTGCGGCGAGAGGGTCCCCTGTCGACGAGACTGCTGCTACTGTCCAACGCCAACCCCCAGCAAGAGCACCCACGACTCAACCACCACTAGGATTCGCAGCAGCCCCAGTGTCAGCACCCCCAGAACCGGCACCCCCAGAGTCGGCACCCCCAGATTCAGAACCCCCAGACTCAGCAACCCATGGACCAACACTCCCAGAGTCCGCACCCTTAGTGTCACCACCTCCAGCAGCACCAGAGTCCACATCGACAGTCTGCAGAGGCGGCGAAGATGGCCGAGGCGGAAAACCAGGAGGGGTCTCAAGGCGCGGGGAGCGGCGAGTGGAAGTCGTGTCGTCCGCAGCGGGGTCACCCCCCTCAGCTGGGCCAGAGGTGTCAGAGGAGACCTCCAAAGGCTCAACCAAGGGGGGTGGGTCGACGTGAGACACACCTGAGGGAGCAGGACCCTGTGGAAGGGAGGGGGTCTACCGGTGGGAGACCTCGGACCAGGAAGAGGGGCGGTGGGGAGAGTGGGGAGGAAACGTGCGGGTGGAGACGGTAGAAACAGACCGACTCGTCAAAGGTGACGTCCTGTGAGGACAGGACGCGGTGCGAGGCAGGGTGGTAAAACAGCCAGGGCGGGGCGTCGGTCGGGAAGCCAAGGAAGATGCACCGGAGAATGCGAGGAGAGAGCTTGCCCGCGGTGGTATCGCGGACAAGGGAGAGCGCACCCCAGACCCGAAACGCCGACGCATCGCCAACCTCCCCCGTCCAACTCAGTGTAGGCGAGTTCTCTGGCACAGAGACACGGGGCCATAGGGTGAGCTGATGCGCGGCGTATCGGACCGCAAACGGCCACCGCAAACGGTCACAGAAAATGGGGAGCAGCCGCATGGATCATGGAGGTGCAAGAAACCTCCATGACCAAGCCAATGCGACGCTCAGCAATCACATTCTGCTGCGGAGAGACCAGAAGCGTGAACGACGGGGCGATGCCCTCCGCACGACAAAAACCCTCAAGGAGGCGGGAGGAAAAATCATCGCCTCTGTCAGAGTGCAGTCGCAGGACCTGGAGGTCCTCCTGAACCGCGCTCTCAGCTGGCGATGAACAACAATGATCCAGGTGAGCAAAACACCAATGACATCCGCCTTGCTCCGCAAGGGGAAGACCGTGGTGTAGCGCGTGTAGCCGTCAACAACCAGGAGGAAGTAGCGCTCCTGGTCCTGTCCACTGACGCGGGCTAGGCCCCACACGTCCAGGTGGAGAGTCTACAGAGGAGCTGTGGTCGGCAGAAACGAAGAGGAGTGAGGAGCGGCGCGCTGCCTCCCCTCGACGCAGGGAAGGCACGGCGGTGCAAGCGAGCACGGGAGCGGTGGCACGGACCTGGGGAGGCCAGAGACAAGGAGACGAGAGGGCATGCCACGCAGGCGCGGCAGGGAGGGGTGACCAAGACGGTGGAGGAGAGTCTGGTGCGTGAGTAGCCGACACGAGCAAGACGCAGCTAACTGACCCGACGCAACTACCTGTGCTAACTCAGTGGTCAGTGTGTACAGGCCAGACACAAGGCTCCGAGCGAAAGTGGCGAGGTGCTCGCCAATGCGAGAGTCCGTACAGATCGCCACAAGCTCCCCCCCCTGAGTAGTCACAGTGACAAACTGGTCCTGGAGTACAGCGTTGCTCACCAAGTTCTTAGAAAATGAGGGGAGGTGGAATCCTGTGAGGGTGCCTGAGGGGGCTGCCGGACACGGGAGAACGATGGAGGCATGTGCTACAAATGGGCCCCCAGAGGGGTCAGCCAGAGAGACCGGGACAGGTGCAGTGAGTGGTGTGACTGTGGTGCAGTCGCGGAAGAAGCAGCGAGTCGCACCGGGATCAAGCGTGAAGGTGTGCAAAGCCTTCACAGAAACTGCACCTGTGCTACTAGGGACGCGTCGCTGAGAAACCTACTCGCGAAGCTACTACGGCGAGGGGGTCTCCTGTTGACGCTGTTGCCGCTGTTGTCTAGTACCCCCAGCACCATAACCTCCACCACCAGGACGGCCTCGCTGAATAACCCACTCACGAAGCTGCTGTGGCGAGAGAGTCTCCTGGCGACGAGACTGCCGCTGTTGTCCAGTACCCCCAGCACCATAACCTCCACCACCTGAACGGCCTCGCTGAATAACCCACTCACGAAGCTGCTGTGGCGAGAGAGTCTCTTGGCGACGAGACTGCTGCTGCTGTATAGTACCCCCAGCACTATAACCTCCACCACCTGGACGGCCTCGCTGAATAACCCACTCACGAAGCTGCTGTGGTGAGAGAGTTTCCTCGCGAGGAGACTGCCGCTGCTGTCCAGTACCTCCAGCACCATAACCTCCACCACCAAGACAACTCCGCCGAATAACCCACTCGCGAAGCTGCTGCCGCGATAGAGTCTCCGAGTGACGCTCCTGCTGTTGTCCACCGCCAGACGCTGCTACAGCCGTGATAGTGGCCATGACAGGCACTGGCAGTCAGTAGCAGCGGCGCAAGGGCGTCAGAAGCGACTGTTGTAGCTGCACCTATAGCAGTAGCGGTAGTCGCTGTAGTGGCAGGGCAGCGCACGGGCTGCAGGGCAGGGCAGCGCGCGGGCTGCAGGACGTGTGGGCAGCCGGGCAGGGCAGCGCGCGGGCTGCAGGGCAGGGCGGCGCGCGGGTTGCAGGGCTGCACGGGCAGGGCAGCGCGCGGGTTGCAGGGCGTGCGAGCAGCAGGGCAGGAAGGCGTGCGGGCTGCAGGGCAGGGCGGCGCGCGGGCCGCAGAGCAGGGCGGCGCGCCAGCAGAGCGCAGGGCAGGGCGGAGAGCGAGCACGGCAGCGTGCGGGTCGCCCGCTAGGCAGCAAGCAGGCAGCGCGACGGGCAGGGAAGAGCGCGTGGGACAGCGCAGGCAGGGCAGCGTGATGAATGCTGTTCGGGCAGGGCAGTACGGGCAGTTCGGGCAGGTCTAAAAAATAGCGGTGGGCCCTAACGGAGCGGTCCTACGGAGGATGGATCTGCTCTGGTACCATGTCAGAATTAGCACGTAGGAAAGGTGGACTAGGTAGCATTCATGAGTACAAGTACTACCGTCATCGCCCGGATATAAGACATATATGTCTTATCTCATACACTAAAAAAAATGCTTGGGTTATCTTGTATTTGGGGAGGTTTTGGGTGTCTTATAAGTCTTATAAATGGAAACTTTTTTAAACTACTTAGAAATATTTTCACGCATCTTGAAAAGAGTTTCTCATTACCGGTAAGAGTGTGGATGTTGCGAAGGTGCCACTTCGGTAACCATTGTTCGGGACGCCACGTCATCCCGGATACTTGCAGAGGCAAATTTCGTAGTACGTGAGTCAGCACGTGGCAGAATTCGCGTGTCGCAAGGGTAAAAATGTACGCAGTATTTCAATTCTCACTATAATACATTGCAGTTTCGATTATAAGACACATATGTCTTATCTCGTACACACAAATAGGTGTCATATAAAAAGGCTAGCCTGTTTATAAGAGACACCCGCATAATAGACAACCCCTGTCTACTATTCAACACTGTCTAATATCCGGGCTATGACGGTACCTAACCCTCAAGTGTTGTACTCCTTAACGTATGCCCTACAACAGCCTAGAGATAACAAATGCAATTTGACACTCTGAGGGGGTACCTTCCCTTATTAACTGTATTGCATTGCTACAGTAACTGCGACTATTACTCTACTCGACAGTTACCCGATTGCAGCGTGCAACCTCCGAGTACGATTACTGGACGGTCAACAGTCAAGACCGTTGACTAACCTCGATTGTTGACCTTCGAGTGACTCTCGAGCTGCCGCGTGCTCTATATGAGCTATCGAGCTGCCGCGTGCTCTATATGAACTATTGCGGTACCGGTATAGTGGCACTGCTTTGTTAAAAAGTGGCACGCAAGGAGAGAACCTTCGGGAATGCTATAATATATTCCGATTATTCCATAAACCAATTTTATAATAAGCGCATATGCGCTACTAAGTATCATAAAATGGTTATCCAGGATAAGCTCACCTTGGCTTACACATTTCATTTGATCACATCACAAGCCCCCCCTTCCTCCAACCCTCCTCCCCCCCTAGACAAGAAAAGGCCAAAAACATGTTGAGCCCCCCAGCATCTGGGAAAATAGGGTATCTTAAATCTGAACCATGCTTATAAGGAAAATTACACGTGAAATAACACCTCGTTGGCCATGTACTTCATGAATACATACCGCAAAAAAGACAAAAACAAACAAACAAACAATCCATAATACAGCACAGGTCTAATCATAAGACTCTAATGGTAAACGGAGCAAGGATTCATCCAAGCAATTACATCTCTGGCACAGTATCCACTAAAAGGTGATTGACAAGGAACACCTGCAGAGTTCAGCGTACTGCCACCCTGGCTCCAAACTGGGGCTGCATTGCTACCGTCATCACCCGGATATAAGACAGTGTTGAATAGTAGACAGGGGTTGTCTACTATACGGGTGTCTCTTATAAACAGGCTAGCCTCATTATAAGACACTTATTTGTGTGTATGAGATAAGACATATATGTCTTATAATCGAAACTTCAATAAATTATAGCGAAAGTTGAAGTACCGCGTACTTTTTTACCCTTGCGAAGCGCGAATTCTTCCACGCGCTGACCCAGGACCTACCAAATTTGCCCCTGCAGGTGTTCTCCATAACGTGGCGTCTCGGGCAGAGGTTGTCGAAGTGGCACCTTCGCAACATCCACACGCATTATGAGAAACTCTTTTTAAAGAAGTACGGAAAATATTTCTAAGTAGTTTAAAAAGTTTCCATTTATAAGACTTATAAGACACCCTAAACCATCCCGTTTACAAGATAACTCAAGCATTTTTGCCCGTGTACGAGATAAGACATATATGTCTTA